GGAGTAAGCTACCAACTTTTCCAACATGGTGTTTGAGAGAAACTGTATTTAAGATCAATCTGTGCTTGCAGAATACTTTAATTCAGAGAAGACTGCAGCTCTGATTAATATCAATTCTCTGGTGGGATTGGGATGCATGATGTGAAAGACACAAGAATAAATAAAAAAGAAAGTTAAAAAAAAAGATCCATTCTCTCAGCTTATCTTTTGGTACACCATTTTCCAATTCAGTGATGTCTGGAAGCTGGTAGAGACAGCTGTCTGATGAATTCTGATTCTGAATGACAGAGGAACGACTGGGAAGAGGAATAAATAGTACATGGTAGAGAAACTGATCAGAAGAAATCTCATAGCCAGGTGGTGGTGCATGTCTTTAATCTCAGCAATTGGGAGGCAGGGGTAGATGGATCTCAGTGAGTTCCAGGAGAGCCAGGACTGTTACACAGAAAAACCCTGTCTCAAAAAAAAAAACAAAAAAAAAAAAGAAAGAAAGAAGGGAGGGAGGGAGGGAGAGAGGGAGGGAAGAAGGAAGGAAGGAAGGAAGGAAGGAAGGAAGGAAGGAAGGAAGGAAGGAAGTCTTACTTCCTCTTGTTCTTTCTTACCCTTTCCCTGGCCTCATTCTTCCCCCAGCTACATAGAGTTAGTTCTCAGGGTTGCAAGGGTCTGAGACCCTTCACTGCTGTTCTATGTGATTTAGCTCCACCAAGAAAAGACCAAAAAGCTGGCTTTGTTTCTTTTGTTTTGTTTTCCTTTTCTTTGTATTTTCTGCCCAGGCTTGCCACAGCTATCTGTCTGTACCTCTGCCTCCTGGCGTCAGGACTACAGGCATGCACCCCTCACCCAGCTCCAAGCTCTTTAATAATCAGGGCCCATTTCACATGCCTTCTGTTCTTAACACCCACTCTCAAAACACCCAACAAAGCTGCTTAGTGTCACTTAAGCATTTGCGTTGTATAAGCTGGACCTTCCTGGCTGGTAACAAGAACAGTCCTTTCTTAGGCTGTAAGACAACTCCTTATGTTATATCCAAGGTCACCAACAAAAATGGCAGGTCAGTCACAAACAATGTTGCATGTGTGTATATGCATCTATTCATCCACCAAAAGTGAATAGGATATTTTTGTAACTTTGACATAAAAACAATATTGCGTTTCTCTTGTGAATGTTTCATTTCTATAGAACGATATAGAATAGAGTCAGCTTCATTAAAAAAAATGAGTGGTTGAATTTTAAGTAAGAAATGTGTAGGGCTTATTTACCTCATTGGAATCTTAGTTACGTACATGAAATCAACAATCTGTTCTGTGTTCTGTCATAGCCGCATTACTACTTTCTAGTTTTCTTCCATTTCCTAGTGTTTTACATATGAAAATAAATTGCTAACTCAGAGGTTGTTATGAAAAAACTAGAAATTCTTTGACTTGAAAAATGAGAGGAACGGATACTTGTATTATAAAGCATAAATTATACCCTGGTATATTTATGCAAAAGAGTTAAAAACCAAAGAATCTGCTTGCTTATTAAAATGCAAACATTACCTCAGTCATACAAATAGCCCCAAACTCGCCCAGTCTCTGCCTCTGCAGATCACCCACCGGCACCAGATTACCTCAGACGGCATTATGGAACAATAGTGAACTCTGTAATGGTTGAATATATTGTTTTGAAAGAATAAACTGTCATTAACTTGAATAAAAGCTTTCTGAAATCAAACCTGGGGGGTATAGCCTTCACTGGGTGGCCTTTTTTTTTTTTTTTTAACTACTTTAAGAAATTGCCTCACCCTGAAAGCAAGCAAGGGGGGACAAAGAGATGGAAGTATAAAGGCGACAGTCCTACAACGGCCCAGCAGGCAGGGGCCAGAGCTTTAAACTACAAAGCAGAACAATGTCAAAGCATGAAACGCTGCCACAAATTTGGCACCTAAAATCCAAACAAGCTCACACACACACAACCTCCCTAGGATCGCTGTGATTCATATAACAAGTTCTGTTACAATGGGAACAGGTCCTGCTCTATGGCCGGCATGTCCCGATGCCATCTGAAGACAGGCTATTGACACAGCCAGTGATGTTAATAAGGTCAGGAACTGAAGGTGAAACCCAGTGTTTTAATCTATAAAGTAGAAAACAAAACAGCTCTCGTGGAGAAGTACTGAGGGGAGTTGGACACTTATCATTAGTCTACTCAATTTTCCTGTCTGCCTGTCCCTTCCAATCACAATCCAAAGGATTTCTTGTTCACAGATGACACACAAGCATCTGTAAACACTCACTGCCTTTTGTTTGGCCTGTGGTCTGAGCAGAGTCACACACTGCCATTTCTCACCAAGTGAGCTCTCTGTCTTCCTTAGCCAAACCCAGAGAAGCACTCAGAGTAACTGCCCCTCAGCAGCTGTCCTCTCCTCTATACCTACTCTCAGTGTAGTTAGACGGTGGCAAAACCCTGATTACAGCCTCGTTACTAGGGTAACCAAGTCCAGGTGCATCACTTTGCATGGCACTCACTTATATCATACTCGTCACTCACGGGCAAGGTGGATGAGCTTAACTCATGTTAGCTTCCCTTAGCGCCAAGTCTTCTAGACATTTTCCCTACTAGTCAGTTTATTCTCATATGAATCATTGAAGATAATGAAACAACTAATCCCAGAAAACTATTAAGTATTTCTCAAATTCTGGTTTGCTTTTAGCTTTTCCCCAATGAGAGAAAGAAAAGACTAAGTCACAGACAACCGGTGAAGGACTAGAAGACTTTGGGGAGTGAGGGGATGGGGATGACAGGAAGAAGTCATGTGAAAACTGACTGTGGGCAGTACTCCATGCAGATCCAGGAGAGTGGAGAGAAGAATATCAATATCCAGCTGTTATGTTTCTGAAGATTGGACACATATATGTGAAAGTAGAAATTTCATTACTGTTGGCTTCTTTGGAGAATCTCCTTACTCCTCAAAATAAGGGAAATGAATGAGAAGTGGGTAAGTGCCAGAATATAATACGTTCTTTTATAGAGTGGAGGGTTTATCAAAGTCTAGTCTGGTAGCCAGCAGAGGGGAGAGTGGAAGCGTAAATGGGCTCATCTGTAAAGCGGATGAGTTGCTAGGAAAATACAATATATAGATCACCTGGATGTGCTATGTGTTTCTGTTAGGCACAGCATGGAATGGTGTAACTAGTGTAGGACTTGACATCGGTGAAGACATTTCAAGTGCAATCTCTATCTGCCAGATGTCTGATCTTGCACAAATCACTTAAATAAATTCAATGACGCAAGAATTACAAAGAACGGTATGTGCATATATGTGGAGCCAGGGTACATTTTGATATGAATAACTATATAAGATGCTTTAGTACAGTCTATTCTACCAGCTTACTCTTGTCTGGGTGTTTGTCACCTCTCAAGTTCATATTGAAACTTACTCCCCACAAATCATAGGTTAAGGGGATTTGGAGGTGGGACCTTTGGAAGGGAACCAGGATAGGATGTGGTCATGAAGGTGGAGCCTTATGACTGCATGAATGGCTCTATTTGAAGAGAAAGAGAGATCAAGTTAGCAAGCAGCTTGCTCTGCCTTGTGAAGTGATATCCTCCTCCTTCATGTCATGACCCAGCAGAGAGGCTCTCAGCAGATGCCAAGAGGACACCAGAGCCATGGTCTTCATTGTGAAGTGTAAGGTAAATTAACCTCCTTTCTTTATAAATTTCTCCATCTGTGGTATTGTTATCAAAAAATGAAGAAAGATGCAGGTTGAGTAAACCACAGCCTTAGTTATGTTCATTATTGTTTAGGTTTTGTTTTGGGTGTTTTTGTGAGGAGTAGAGGCAAGGAATCAGAGGAACTCATACAGCAGAAGCAACGTTCAGTTTACAGAAAATCATTTCCAGCTAATAGAGATTTAGCTCAGTCAGTGAAGTGTTCCTCATGCAAGCATGAGAACCTGAGTTTGATCCCCAGAAGCTGCATAAAAAAATGGGAAGTGGTAGCAGACACTCATAGCCCCAGCTCTGTGTATGTGGAGATGGCCAGATCCCTGATGCCAGTTGGCCTACCCTAATTGATAAGCCCCAGGTCCCAGTGAGAGACCCTGTTTCAAAAAACAAGGTGAATAGCTCCTGAGAACAACACTGGAGGTTGACCTATGGCTTCCAAACATGTACACACGCAACACACACAAACACACAAACACACACACAAGATCAAGAAAATAAGCTCCATTTCATGGAGATACAAAAACAATAAAGTTATGGTCTTTGAAGAAAGCATCTTGAAATATGCTGATCAGGTAGGTAATCTCTCCTCTCATAAGCATACTTTTCTCTCATGCAAAACAGTTGCCAGAATTAATTACCATTACATTAATGGTGATAGAACTTTTCTCTGAGTCTGATCTAGTCAACACATACCACTGTCTAGATCACAAATAACGAAAATCCTTTCATGGAAATATAATGGAGATGGACCACCTTCAGTAACATCAATTTATTCATTAATTTACTTGATCCTTATGTTATATCAGGTTCTATCACAGGTGCTGGGATTCAATGGTGGAAAGAAACAGAAAGTTTCTGTCATCATGGAGCTCAAATTGCAACAGAAAAATACAGACCATAAACCAACAGGGCTGGCTCAATGGGTGAAGGTGCCAAACCTGATAACCTGACCTTAATCCCAGTACCCACATGATGGCAAGAAAGAACACACTCCCAAACACTGTCCTTTGACCTCCACATGCACACACATACACAACAAACAGATAAGTGCAAAAAATGTTTTCTATTTACAGTAGGTCAAAGGTGGTTAAGTGCTACAGGAAAAAAAAAAAAAAAAAAAAAAAAAGCAGGGAAAGAGATCCAATCAAGGAAGACTTCTCTGAGATGTCAATTAAAGAGAGACCTAAAAAAGGTAAAAGAGTAAGACACACAGATATGTGGGGAAAGAGTAGTAGGGCCATATATCACCCTCCCCAGCAAGTCCAGATCACACAAAGTATAACTCTCACCTTTTAAAAGAGGCTGGAAGGTTGGAATCTCTTGCAGCTTGATGACATCAGGGTCATTGCTGACATTCCTGGAGGCCTGAGAGCCCTGAGCCACGACCACTATGTCATCCATCTTGGCCCGATGTTTAGCTGGAGATGGAGTCACTGCAAATCAAGTGACATGGATCAGGAACTGCATGCTGGAGAGCTACCACTGCCCATCAACAGTCACTAGAAAGTAGTTCACAACACAGAGACTTTTCCAATCTTAACATATGTGCTTCTCATGAAAGCCGTCCTTATTTAAAACGATACACTTCTTCCAAGAGTGGTAATGCCTACTTTTTGTCTTTGAAACGTTGAAGTGGATTAAAGTCTAAAAACAAACAAACAAAAACTATAAAGAAATGCTGGTATGGTGGTAAACACCTTTAATCCCAGCAGAGGCAAAGGCAAACAAATCTCTGGGAGTTCAAGGCCAGCCTGGCCTACATAGTGAATCCAGGACAGCCCGAGTAACATAGTAATACCTTGTCTCAAAATATATAAATAAATGCATACATACATAAAACTAAACAACAAAAGACTATGAGGGGATATAATTCAGCTGCTCATAAAACTGGATGTGATGGCTCACATCTCCATACTGAAGTTAAAGACAGGAAGATAAAAATTCAAGACCAGAGGCTAAAGATATGGCTCACAGGTTAAGAGCACCGGTTGCTCTTCAGAAGACACTGGTTCAAGTCCCAGCAGCACCCACATGTTGGTTTAAAACTATTTGCAGCCTGGTGATGGTGGTGAATGCCTTTAATCCCAACACTTAGGAGGCAGAGGCAGGCAAATCTTTGTTGAGTTTGAGGCCAGACTGGTCTACAAAGCTAGACAGAGAAACCCTGTCTCCAAATTAAAAAAAAACAAAACAAAACAAAAAAAAAAAAAAACTCTAGTTCTAGTGAATCCAGTGCCCTCTTATGGCCTCCTCAGATACTACATGCATGTGCATAAACATGCATGCAGGCAAAACACCTATAAATATGATAAAATAACGTACAGCATTGGGAGCATAGATCAGCTTAGACTACATGAAACACTATCTCAAAGGAAGAAAAAGAATATTTTTATATAGCAAAATGTCATTATTTTGTAGTGAGGGGGGGCGTAGGTAAATCATAGGGAATTTCTATTTTCTTTCTTTTTGGTAGTGCAAGGGATTGTAACCAGAGCCTCTTGAATACTAGGCAAGTGCCCCACCACTGAGGTATGGCCCTAGCCCAGGACTTCCATTTCCTAATATATATATCAAAAGTCTCAAACATATAGAAACATATAACATGTATGAAATTCTTGCATAACCAAGCATTTTATTATTTAATACACAAATGCATAGCCAGATTTTTTTAAATGCCTCCTTTTTTGATATATGTCCACAGTTTATAAATGAAGAAACAAAACTGTCTGGGACTTGCCCAAGGCCAACAGCCCTAGAAATAGAGTCAGGAAAGGCACTGAAGGTCTCTGGGTCCTTGGTACAAGGACTCTTGGTGACACAGAATGCAACGCTGTCTCTCTAACCTACCAAAGCCAGGTGTGCTCAACAGAGCCAGCTGTGCCCAAAACCTTCTGTTTCAAACCCAAATTATAAGTCTATTCCTAAGGCTCCAGTGAGCCTTAGTGCAGCATTAGGGAAAAAAGAACAGAACAATCAACATTCAGAAAATTGGAGGTCTTCTGGGGCATGTCAACTTGAAGTTCCTTGGGAGGAAAGAGGGTCAGTCCTCCAAGGATCCCCTAGAACAAGACATCTCATTCAAATATTTTCCTGGTTGGAAGAAGAATGAATCCTTATGGTATCTTATACTGGAAGGTTCTAGTAGGCAATAGGTATACTCAGGCTCATCAGTCCGCTCTGAGGATAGACACCACAGAACTACTCTGCCTTCTGGAAACTAGCCTCTCCTGATGCTTGTCCTGGGGGAGGGCACGAGTATCTCTGCTACTTTTATTGCTTTTCAGTAGTAGTTTATCCTGGCTTGGTAATTTATCTAACATTTTACAAAAGCAGTACCAAAACATCTTCCCTGGTACAAATTACATGATTCCTCTTTTCCCCAGACACCAAAGAGGACTTAGTCCATCTCTATTATTTTATGCATAAAGTGGGTAAAGATGTCTGTAAAAATGGGCATGCTATAAATACTACACATAAACATGTGTAAAGCACCTGGCACAGAGAGTATGCAAATTCTCTCAGAAATAAGCCTAGGCTGTTGGTTTCCGGATGAGCAACAGTGCTAAAGGACACCACATTCCTTCCACTAAACTATGCTTCTGGCCGGGCATAGAGGCAAGGGAGTAAGAAATGGCCATTATTGCCATGTTATAAAAAATGGGTCTTGCAAGGAAACAAACCATGGCAAAGCTAGTAGATGCAAGTTGCCAGTCAGCAGGTCTTGAGGGCACTGTCTCGGAGGAATGCCCACCAGCCTGAGTCATCCCCTACATCTGCAGCTTCCACATTTATGAGTGGCAAATGTTAGTTACCAAGTAGAGAGCCATTATGAAGAGTCTTACTAGGTCGGAGGTCTTAATTAACAAGGCTTAGCAACCCCTGAGCTTACCTAGTGCAGTCTCAGAGGTTACCTAAGTGAGTGGTTGAAACAAATTTAAAACAAACAAACAAAAAAAAAAAGACTAAATGGTTTTCAATTACCAGCTGTTTTTATTGAGCACTCGCTACAGGTCTGGATCTAGCGCAACACCTTTCCAATTCCTACCTCACACGCTTAGGGAAGTCTAAAAAAAAAAAAAAAAAGTGGACAACAGAGATTACACCAGACCCTGCCTGCCAATTGGCCAACTTATTAAAAAAACAAAACAAAACAGACGCGACATCTGAGTGAAAAAAAGCAGTTTCTGGGAACATGTGCACCCAAACATTGAAGGTGACCGCCCAGCGCTCACAGGTCCCTTCTGAGGAGGAACCTCGGACACCTGGTTTTATCAGAGAGCCTGAACTTGGAGGTCCTGGGTGTTATCCATCCACAGGGAGCCAAGTGCCGAGTCGGGGAACCGATCTTTCACAATGAGAGAGAGAAGGGGGAGCTGAGGGAGCCGAGCAAGGGGAGCAGGGTGGG